GGGTGACTGCTCGATTGAAATTATGACAGTTCTTTTCTTCAAATTGTGATTCCTCTTACTCCAAAAAAAACGGAGACTTGAACAAAAAATCGTGAAAATCGGAATGGTTGAGATTTGGGGCAAAAACCCGATTTTAATCGGGGGATGAGTGGCAGGCAGGTCTCATTGTTAGTTTTCAAGAGTCCTCAATAATGGAAGACCATACAACTAATTGATCAAATCAGCTCATTTTCTTTGTAAGAGATAAAATGAACATGATAACTCACCTTTGGAGCTTTCAGTTTTTTCTTCGTAAAGACGCTCACATCTTCATGCACCCTGTCCAACAGCCACAGAAGGAATTCCTGAGAATCATGCTGGTGGTCTCCTTTATACTGGCTGTTGTATTTGCCAACAATAATTTTGAAGTCTTTAGAAATGTCACTGTTATATTTTCCACACCACAAAGCTTTGAGCAAACGTCCCAGTTGTTCTGTAACTTCACCATGTGTTGATCTGGAAATTCCTTTCTTGCCATTTTTACTATTTTTCAAATCACCCTTATAAAAGTCTCGAATGAAATATTCTGTGAATGAGTCTGTGTTGCTTAAACACTGTAGCACAGCATTCATGAAGCAACTGTTGGCATGGTTGTAAATACCAACAGTGCCTGGTGTATTTTTCCATTTTGGCATTGTCATACTCAAGCCAGGATCTGTGATCAGCGGTCGGTCTGTTGACATGGTGCCACTATCTCGGTGCTCTAAGCCATTAGTTCTTTCACTATATTCAGGAGTTAAGTACCTGAGATCAGGAGTCCAAACTCTTGATAGGTCTATTGGTTTGGCTTTATTAAACCTCTCATGTTTCTTCGAAACTTCCTCTCGAATAAAAGCACGGCTCACAACCTTTCGAACCGATTTGAAAGAAAACCGCTTTCGTCTGGATGGAAGTGAACTTCCTTGGCTTTGAGAGCTTATTTCCCCATCACTGTCACATGCATCACTGAGTTCCTGACCATCCGCAGGTTTGTCTGATAGACTTTCACCATTCCTGCGCCAGGTCGTATACTGGCTAGGCTTCGGGTTTCCGGTATCTCTGTGTTTACCTGCTCTGGCTCTCGCACCAGATCTAGAGCCTTGAGTGCCTGTCAAGAGAGCTCCGCACAAATCTTCGTCTAGGATGTCTCCATCTGAACATGCTCTAGGTCTTCCCCCTGGAATGACGTGAGACATTGTTGGTCAGTCATCACAACTAAGGTGATGCTTCCAGTCTGTGTTTATAGAGATGTTTATAGCACCCGTATCATCGTCAGCCATATTGTTTTGGCTTCAGGGGGAATGTTGGGAAACGGGAAACCACAGGTACTCGTCGTGAAAAAAGAATATCCATACTTATATAAAGGTGTTTCGCGTTATAATTTGTTAAATTGTATCAAGCATTATTAACTTTTGTGCACACTTCTCTACGCCCACTGTGTCTCTTAAAACTGAAACGTTTGCACAACTTTTCAAGAAGCATAATATGGTTTGTTTTGCTTTTCCATTGATCAGAGATTCCGAAGACTTTGGGCTTTGGCTGGAGACCTCTGGGTCTTTACTCTTAGGCCTATAGGCTATTTACTATAGCCTATAGCATAGCCATAGCCACTATACTATAGGCCTAGAATCTAGATCTAAGCCTTGGCCTAGAGTTTATCAAGAAAGGGCGCCTTGGGCGTGAGAGTCGTACAAGTTTTCGTTCACCGTTTTTTGTAGTGTCAAGTGTCAACTGACCACAGAATTCTAGCCTAGGCCTACACTCAACTGAGTGTTGAATTCCGTGCAACTGACCTACTCGTCCGGTGAGTGAATCTGGGATTTCTCATTGAACAGCAACTTACAGCTCCTGTTTAGGGCTCCGGGCTCAAGGTAAAACTAATCTACTGGCGTGCTTCGTTCTCGTCACGTCCATCTTTGACAGATATCTAGACCTATTCTAGATCTAGATATAGATAGGGCCTATCTAGATCTAGATCTAGATCTTGTCTTTCTTCATTCATGCCTTCATCTTCCCCACTTTTTGCAAAAATTCCGCAAAAATGATACCTGTTGACTCTCGTACTTTTTTATGTTAGCGCAGAGCCAGGATAGGATGCTTGTGTCTTGTCTTGTGTGTAATGTGTATGGTATAGGTACGGGTGGTAGGAGGTACGTGTTTGTGGGAGGGAAGGGGGGGGGGGTCTGCTGTCCCACAGACTCCTTTTTTGTGTAGGCTAGGCCCCTAGGCCTACTTTACAATCAGACATCAGGCTCCAATCAATGGAGACCCATGAAATGAATCGTTTTTGGCTTCCCAGATAAAATGTGTTTTGAGGGTTTGAAACAAGTACAAAAACAAAACAGGGACACAAACATTTATGGAGAAGGCAGGCAGCAGCGCATTTTTGTATTGTGGAGGAAATTTTTGGTGCAACATACATGACAGTATATATTCCGTGTGCCTAGAATTTCATCTGTAAATTCATAATTATTTAAATATCCTCTTTTTTTGTTTCTTAACTAGATCTAGATCTAGATAGAGTACAGACCTAACCTATTGTAACCGAATCTTTTTTTTTCTTCGAAAAGTAGCCTTTGTGAGGACTTTAAAAATCTGAAAGATAATATTTGATAAGCAGGCTACCATAAGTATTTAGAGATGCTAAAAGCCTGTTTCACCATATATATGCGTTTAAGTTTTGTAATGAAATGTTGTTGCATGTTGCTAATTACACTTTGTCATGGTACTTGTTGGAGAAAAGGCATCATTCATCATTGCTGGCAGCACATTATATCTGCTCCTCCCTCCTCTCCAGGATCCATTTAAAGGGTCTGCCTGCTGATCGTGCCAGTTATTAGCAGGTTGGGTATTTTTCTGGCTTTTCCACACAGGTTGCTGTCTTTCCGTAGCCCTCTAGAGGCACCAGCTTCCCTAAGTCTTTCCTTGTGTATGAAAGTGTTAGCCCCTGTATAAATGTATTATTATGTGGGTTTCTTAATATTTTTCTATAGTATGAGTGTGTGTAAAGATATTGAATACCGGTAGTCTACCCTTAGTTGGCAAGCGAAAGTAGGTTTATAATGGATTTTTTTTCTTTTTTTGAACTATATTTATTTCAGGTTTCCTTATAGAGCAGCGTTTGTGAACTTTGTGAGGAAAATGGCACCCATGAGATGTTCAGAGCAAGATGTGTATACAGTTGTCGTGACATCTCCTATTGGCGACATTGAAATTAGAGGATGTGACGGAGGACTCCATTCAGTGAAACAATGTGATGAAGATGACAGCACATTTTCTCCAGATGAAGGGTAAAGTAAAGATTTTTATTTAATTTTATTAGAGTCGTTTAAGTTTGTATAAACATAGCATTAAATTACAATTTCATTGCACTACTGCGCCTCACTTCTTTCATTTTTGTCAAGCAAATTTGTTTCTAGGAAGAAAAGTTCTTCCCCATTGAGCACTTTGGTATTTGGGTTCTACTCAAGTGTCGTTTACAATTTCACCTTTATCACTGAGCAGCTGCCAAATGGGTAGATGTAGTGCACTATTATATGTGTAGTGTGTAGTATACCTCTGGCAGTCAGTTTGCTGACTGGCAGTATTTGTGGGACAAATTTACATAAGTTTGATAATAATAATAAGGACCAAGTTGATAGATGGGGGGGGGGGGGGGGGGGGGTAGACGGGCAAATAGTGTATGCTTATTTGTGTGTGTTGAAATCAGGTGCTTGTCATTATAATAATGAAGTAAAAAAATTGGCATTGTTCTGCCTCTTGGGCAATTTCCACTGGAGTTGTTTTGGTTTTTTTGGTTGGGGGTGGTGGGCTGATTCCACCTTAAAAGTGTTCCTTTTTGTGCATTCACAAATATTTGGTGGCAAGCGGGGCTTAGCGATATAACGAGGGGAGGGGGGAGGGGGTGCTGTACAACAGGGGTTTAACTGAAGTTATGTTTAAAATTGAGAATGGGTAATTGTTTTGTCTTTATCTTTGATAGCTTCTTGTGTGTTGTAATGATGCTACACATCACTCAGAGGATTTCATTCTACCTACAAATGCCATTAATGAAGCAGATTATAGCTGGAACAAAGAGGTTATATATATACTAGAGCTTGCAGCAGTGACGTCACTCGTGTCATACATGGGGGCCTTAACGCTTACCTTCATCGGCATGGTCGGCATGCTCCCATTTACATGAAACAATCTGAGCCCCCGCCCCGCTCCCCACGAGCTCTAGTATATTTAACACCAACCCTACCCCCATATTTCAGTGCAAGCTTATAGATTTTCTCACTAGACTGCCGAGACACCTCCATGTGAGTCTTGAAAAGTAATCACCCGTCTATTAAACTGGGCTTGTCTTCCCCTTGAGGTTCAGCGTCCCATAGTGGGCACATGCAGTCCCCATTCGTTTACAAAGAGGACATCACTGCAATGGACTCTTATAGTTCTCTACCCTCGGAAAAAAGTAACGGTCCATAGATTTCAGACCTAATTTTGAAAAGGTTGTTATTGGGCGACACATTAATGATCCTGGTAAATTGTTTTAGCTTATTTAAAGACAAAACAATATATATATGTAAGGTTATGTTCTGACTATATACACACAAATAACTCACGTCAAGAAGGCCACCCCCCAAAAAAACGAAAAACATGATTGAGCATGTGTCGGATGAACTGGATTGAAGACACCATATGCCAGGCTGTTATTGCTGTACAAGGCGGGCCACTCGTTATTGAAATCACGCTCTAAAGCAATACGTGCAATTTTCCTCAAATCGTGTTTTGCATGGTTTTTTTGGTGTTTTTTTTTGGGGATGTGGACTTCTTGTTGTGAGTTGTTTGTGTATGAATTGACATTTTGTTCAAAAACTAGTCTTACAAATTGTTTCGTCTTTGAATAAGCTAAAATAATTTACCAGAATTATTTATGTAGCGCGGTTATAGCCTTTCAAAATTAGGCCTGAAATCTGTGGACAGTTATTTTTTTCTGAGGGTATTATTATAAACTCTTTGAGCTGGAACAAAACCTTAGCCATTACAGTATTGTCCTGTTAAGAAAACAATTCTTATTGTAAATTTTTTTTTTGTGGGGGGGGGCAAATTTCAGACGACCAGTGAACCTAAAAAGAGGCTATTCCAAGATTGATTGCAAGCCCATAGATGAATGTATTTCCTGGTTGAAGAAGTACTTCCTTCACAAGGAGGCAAACATCAAGATCCCATCTTTATGTTCATCTGTAGTCAGACAAGGTAATCCTATTTTTCATACATTTGTGGAGTCGAACATGTCTGTAACAGTCTTTCAAGATCTCTGAAAACAGTGACCGGTGGTCACTAAAGACAGGGTCTGATCAAGTTATCTTCACTTATGAAGCAGACTTGACATGTTGTGGTTGTTGTTTTCAAATCCCTTTAGCTGTGAGCATTTCGCTCTTGGCAGCGCAATGCCTCCCTCAAGTAACCACATGTCCCTGTCATCTGGTCAACACCAGAGTAGAGCAGGCTTTGTAAGTCTGTAGGTGTGTGTAGGAGCCTGCGTCGAAGAACTGCCAGGTTTGGACAGTGAAGGAAATGTTCAACGGTCTCCTCGTGGTAGTCACAGTGTCTGCAATGGGGTTCCCACATGGGGTTAATTCTATTTATGTGCTTGTTGGTGTGTAAGTGTCCTGTGTGGACTCTGAAGATCAAAGTCTGATCGGCTCTACATAAGAAATTCGAAGGGTCTTTGGGGTTGGGTTTGTCCATGTACCCGAAGAGAGATCTTCCTGTTTCTGGGTTGGCCCATCTGTTTAGCCACTCGTCTCTGCTTTTGGCTTGGATGATCCCTCTGCAGGTCTGTAAAGAGGCGGCTGTGTCTGTCTGGGGCAGGCTTGCTCCAGTCTTTGATAGCTGGTCTGCAGTCTCATTCCATGGTACTCCAGAATGGCCAGGCACCCACTGCAGTGTGACCCGGACGCCATAAGAAGTGCCCATCTGTTTTACAAGGCTGAGAATGTTCCCGTCCCCTCTGTAGTCTCCTACCCCTCGACGGTTTGGAGTAGGCTACTGACATTGAGTCAGAGAAGACAACAACATTCCCTGGTGTTACTGCGCCTTCAAGAAAGTCTTGGGTGATCTGCTCCAGGGTCTTTACTATTTGATGATGGATCCATATCCAGCATTCCGTGTAGCGTTTGTTGCTGACCCATCTGTGTATGCATGAATTGGAGTTTCAGCATACGAGTCCACTGTCTCCAGGGCACTAGTTCTGAGGATTTCATCTTGTGTGGTCTTGTCACAAGAAGGGTCTAGAAGTCTCGTCCTTATTGTGATTTCTGGTGCCTGCCAATATGGAGGTTCGCAGCTGATGTTGGTGATTGGTTCGCTGTTCTCGGGTAGGTCAAACTCCTCCAGTAATTTTGTTGCTTCTCGCATGAAGGAGGTCTTCTGGATGCATGTTCTTGGTTCCCACTCATCTGCCATTTTTCTATTTTCGTTCGTGTGTTCTAGCCGTGCAAATCTTTCGTAGGTTTCGAGCGTAGCACTCTTTCTTCTGAGGTCCAGTGGTTCTATGTTGGTGTGGATTTCGCAGGCGCTTGTAGGTGTGGTCTTCAAATCTGAGTGCTTGGTTCTGTACTCTGTCAAGCTGTGCCAAAGAGCTTTGGCTGGCTATGGATTGCAGTGGTAGGGAGTAGTCAATCACAGATCTGACATACCCTATATAAAGTTGTCGGCGGAGGTTTGCTTTGTCGGCACCCCAGTTGAGTGATGAAAGGTGCTTTAGAAGGTTTAGTCTGGAGGTGGCTTTCTTGGTCAGCTCCCCTAAGTGCTCTTCGAGAGACCGCTTTCGGTCCAGTTGTACACCAAGGTACTTGTGATGGTCCTCATGTTTGATGGTGGTTCCATTGATCTTAATGTTTACCTGACCTGCTATAACCTTGTTTTTGAGGCTGAAGAGTCCAAAAACAGTCTTGTCTGTGTTGATCTCCATCTTCTATAGCTGGCAGTAGGACAACATAGTAGTCAGGTCCGCGTTGATGGCTTGGTTCAGTGCTCTCATGTCACTTCCTTTGCTCCAGATGAGCAACTCGTCAGCGTAGAGTGCTTTCTGGCTGGAGATGACATCTGGCAAGTCGTTCATGAACAACAAAAAGAGAGCACAGCTGAGTCTGACCCCTGTGGGAGGCCTTCCTCGAGTGTCCTCTGTGAAGAAATCTTGCTGTCTCATGACGTCTGGACAGTTTTGCAAGACAGAAAGTTCTTGATCCAGCTGTACATCCTTCCTGCTATCCCAAGCTTTTGCATTTGGTAGAACAGTCACCGTCTCCACACACGGTCATACGCCTGCCTCAGGTCGATGAAAACAGCCACAACATTGTCTTTTTCTTGAAAGGCATCGCTGGTCTTCTGGGCAAATCTGATGAGGTGGTCCATAGTTTTTTTTACCTTTCCTGAATTCTGCCTGTGATGTGCTGATTGTGCCAGTGTTTTCCATCCACCTGTACAGTCTGTCGTTGACCATTCTCTCGACGACCTTACCCAGGCATGATGTTACAGAGATTGGTCTATAGCTTGAAGGCTGGCTTGCTGGTTTGTCCTTCTTCAGTATTGGCGTGATGTTTGCCTTCTTCCATTCTGTTGGGAGCTGTCCCTCATTCCAGGTCCTGTGAAGAAATCCAGGAATATAGAGAGGGAAGAGTCTGTCAGGTTGAGGATCATCTCATTGGTGATGTGGTCTGGTCCTGGGGCCTTTCTCTTCTTACACTTTTTGAGGGCTGCCTTCAATTCCGTCAGAGTAAACTCCTTCTCAAACACCTCCAGGTTTGCCTTGGGAGTCCGTTCTGCCCTTTTGGTCAGCTGCTTTATTGCATGGCTCAGTTTTATTGTGGGTTCCTTTCTTGTTGATGTTAGCAAAGTATTTATTCATAACCTCAGCTCTGCATGTTTCTCCTTTCTCAGTTGGTTTCATTGGGGCGGGGTTTTTTCTTCTTTTTGTACCTGAGAGATTGGTGAGCAGGTTCCAGGCTTTCCTCCCGTCCTTACGAAGGTAAGCAGACTTGATAAAATCATCTGTTGGTTTAATATCTTAATCTTAATTTTTTTAATTTTCATTTCATTTCCATCAAAATTGTTATTTAACATCAGAGCTTCTTTGCATTGATTGAACATAAACACACTGAAGACGGTTTGGCTTTCTTTTGTAGCAAGTAACTGGCTTGAGGCCGACTTGTCACAAAAATGATTGACCCTGGCCATGTTTGACAGGGACCACTATGGACAGGGTAAAAATATAGTAGGAAAAACACAAGGGTGTCGTGGAACAGTGGCAGTTAATACAGGTGGCAGCTATGGAGAGGTGACCATTAAAGCAGGTTCAACTGTTCATAGTCTAGGCTACAAGTTATCACACTTTCTTGTGGTTTCTGTTCAGTGCAATTTAGACTCATCCTCATAATTGTTATATTTTATACTCAATGAAAATTACTGTACCCTTCCCACAATCACATAAAAATGTAACAATATTTTGCATTGCTGCAATCTGAATGCATGAATCTAATTCTAGAATTGAGAAATTTTTTATCATGTAGATCTATCTCTGTCTGCTGGGACTTTTGTGAACTTTGGTTTTGTATTTATGTCAGAAAAATATCATAGACAAATTGAGCTTCGCTGTTAGGTTTGGCCTACATTTAATTTCTTTTGCATTTCCATTCCTCTTCTTTTTTTTACTTTTTCTATAGTCTAGTCAGCTCTTTCTCTTTTTTCACCAGTACCAGTGCCCAAAGGCACTCAGGCACATCACGGGGCGCGCGCCGCCCACACTTTGACACACACAGACACACACAGAGACTCAAACACTACAGACACACACACATACACACACACTGCAGGCTTTTTGTATTGCACTAGAATTGTTATTGTGATGAGATGGCTGGGTTCGTAAAGGGTATACTTGTGTGTAAGGATTATATTTCACTGTCTCTGGACAGAGGGCTTAATAAATTGTTTCGTTTAAATTGCATAGGTCACTGATTTACGTGCTAATTCTGTTCTTTGTTTTCTGATTTTCTTTTCCTCGCTCTCACTCATCGACCATGTTTTCTCTTTTGTGACAGATTCATTCGCGGAAAAGGCTTGGAGACTCCTTCCTGAAGCAGCACCAATGGGCACCACCATATCGTACAAGGATCTGGCGGAGTGGTGTGGCAGTGAGAAAGCATGCCGTGCGGCCGGGCAGGCTATGGCCACCAATCCTGTCTCACTATTAATTCCATGCCACAGAGTGATCAGCTCACAAGGGAAACTTGGGAATTACTCTCATGGAAAAAAGAATAAAATTAAAAAGTGGCTTCTTAAGTATGAACGCAGGGAAGAGCAATAGAAAGATTAATTCTTTGAAGAACACTATATGAGATTTTTAGATAAACCTTCCTAACCATCGTAATCCCTTAAAGCCCTGGTCCCTTAAGCCTTACCGGACTTGTGCACCTGAACTTCATTGGGTCTTCTGCTAAATTTGCACCACTGAATGTTGAGGTATCGGCTTGGTGTGCAGAAGGGTAAACTTACTTAGTCTCAGCAGACATGCACTGAAGTTCATAGGGATAATTATTCTCTTGGAAAAGGGAATAAAATTAGAAAGTGGCTTCTTCTGTGTGAATGCAGGGAAGAACAATAACAAGATTAATTCTTTGAACCTTGGTCTTGTTTACCTACGACCTTACAACCTGAGTTCTCTAGATACAAATGATAGATTTACACTTTCACACTGTGAGACTCATTTTTGGTAAGCAATAGGGTAAAGGTAGGGTGCATTAAATTGTAAATTGGATTGTGTGTTCTGAAGGTTATGCCTGTGGAGCGAAGAAATATGATATTCAAATGGGTGCTTCTCTTGAAATACAGTGGTGAGTGTGATCTTGTAATGTTCTTTGATAAGAATGTGTAGAAAATAGTATGAACGTTAAATGTGATGCTTAAAAGGGGCATTTAAGGAAGGAACATTGATTCCTGGTTTAGAAACAAGTGTGTCCTTGTATGATTTGTAAGATAAAAAATATGCTGTTGTCCTTAATTGACTAGATTTTCATATTTGTCTGGGATGTTTTGTTAGGGCTGCCAAAAAATTGATACCCGTACACTTAAAATAGTATTCTTTATTAAAGATTGGACTCATGCAAAAAATTAGAAAAAGAAATTAAGTGGAACATGCATTTGAATTTACTTTATTTGTAATTTTTTAAGAAGGATAAGATTCTAGTGTTTATTTGAATTAACCGATTACGTGTTTATTGCTATCAAATCAAAAGATATCTTTTGAGAATGAATGTGAGACTTAAAGTTTGACAGTTTTGTAGGTATCATCAGGTGTTCTTAATTATTAGTTGAGTGGAGTTTCTTTTAACCACTGAGTCATCAGCACAGAGAAAATACTGGTCCACAGTGCCTTTATTTGTAGGTACACAAGCACTCTGTACAATCATCAGAATGGGATCAAATTGAATCCGATATCTGATACTGATCAATGCCAGATACTGTCTCAATATATATATAGAAAGAGACTGCCTTTGTTGTGGATGCTCAATCTATGCTTGATTGCATCCACTGATTTTACTGCCAAACTGCTAGTCATTATTAATGTCAATCACCATGATTTGTATGTCGATGACGATGTTGTGTTACCTTTCATTCTTTTTTTACGTTTTGATGGCAGTGATCGAAAACTGATCTGTCTTGACTTTTTTTTGTCAATGATAGTGAACTGTGTGCACTTAAGTGGACATAATATACATACACTGGAATCCTTTTATAACGAGAGGGAGGGGACTGGTGTGAAGTATCTGTTATAGCAGGATTCTCGTTATAAGGGATTCAGTAATAAATTCAAGGGAAATAATAAAGTAGGCCTAATCTAGGAGTTTGATGTTCTGTTTATTTCTTTTTGTTATCCCCCCTGGTGATGATTTTGTTCAACATGACTTCTAGGTCTTACTTGATCAAAAATCGAATCAGGTTTTTTTTCCTGTGCTAGTGATGTTGACAGCTCGGTGATCAGAAAGAAAGGGCTCTAGGCTAACTCACCCGCTGTGTTGTCCCCCACCCCACCCCACCCTGTGGTGTGTTCCGTCTGCTTGCGCACATGGGTGCACACCACACCCTGCCCACGTCACACATTTGCTCCGTCCATCACAGCACTGTGACCTCTCCATCCCTGCATTGGAGAATTGAGAGGCATGGTAGGCCTAGATAATCTAGACAAGGCTGGCCTATCACGCGATGCACTATGCTTGTCTGCGCATGCCACACTCCCCCAACTCATTCGCTCCGGCCTTCATTGTTGACACTCGTGGGCTCTCCCATTCTTTGTTACGCTAGATAACCAAGTTTTTCAATTGGCGAGGTTTTACATATGTATAATTGGCCTATGCGCTGTGCACAGCAACAGCAATATTCCGCTATAACCGACTCGCGTATTTGTCTGATTGCGCTACAGCAGTATTTTATTTACGAAGTTAAAGAAGGGAAAAAAACGGGACTTAAGAATACATGTATTATAAAAGACTTCTTGTTATTTCAACACTCGTTATAAGTGGACTCCACTGCATATATATCTGATCAGCATTGGGTTGTTGTTGTTTTGTTTTTTTTTTGGGGGGGGGGTTCAGAATTGACAATGAAGAAATGAAAGAAGATGAGTTTATGTATGCTTACAAAATATTGCTATTTCTTCACTGTTTACAGCTCTTAGACTGCAGAAGTTTGAAACAAATCATTGTTAAAAAAAAATTGTTCCCTCCAGTGGGTTGAAAGTCTTTCCGTACTATTTTTCTGCTAGAGCAAAAAAAAAAGGGCCGGTCATAGCCGCCCGATCTGGGGTGGCTAGCGTTTTTGCTACTCGAACGAATTCAGTCAATTAACCTGACGCTACTGGCCTGTGAGGATTTCTGCAACCTCGGGTGGCTAGCATTTTTCTGCCCACCCGGAGCCGGTCACCTAGATCTAGTACTTGGTAACGTGAACGCGGTCTCATGGCCTTCCGAGAGACATGAATCTATAGAGAGCAAATAGCACACCTCTGTGATTGGCCCAAATATAGATGACTTAATGCAGGCTATATCAAGGGAGATAGATAAAATTGGCCAATTTGGTTAAAATTTTATTCGAATTATGTTGGGTCCATAGTCGCTTAAATGTTTTGCAGATTTGAGTTTGATTTTCTATCCATCTCTGCTAGGCAGGGTCAGCCGTTTTTCCTTGACTGAGAAGCCTCTCCTTTTCTTTTGCTCAGTCATGGTTCACTATGTACTATATCTTCACCCCGACCTTGCTTTACGGAATACCAGCAAGCTGTTGCATGTTGCATTGTGCTCTCTGTATCTTTCTCTCTCTCATTATGGCTAGTTTGGTAAATCAAATTTGCGGTTGTGTTCAGGGGCGAAGCGTCTATATAATCAAATAATCACTGCTTCCCTTTCTAATTTTGAAACATTGTCGCTGTCAAATTCATCCTTAAACGTAAACCTCATAAATTAAATGTAAAAAGACGTTCGTAACCAACAACGAACAGTATGCCTAACATTCAAAACGGTTTCACGGCCACAGAAATAGCCTCCTCACCCCTCTCGGCCCACTCCATAAGCAGTCGCAAGCTTTGATTAAATAAGCTTAAAGTGAGGCTGGAATAGAGTTGAAGGGAACATATGCATGGCAGTCAAAGCTGTTTCATTGCCACATATACCCTGTTCACCCCTTTGGGGCCACAGTTAAAATCAAACACAAGCCCTGATTAAGTAAGCTAATTAACACTGGTCGAGTCTACCTCACAAATGTGAGGGGAACTAACTCTTAATAATCTCTTGACTGCTGCTTGTGCTTGTTTTTTTTCCTCGACTTTTTACCGTCCTATAATCAGATCGTGACCTCGATTATGACACCAGCTCCTGGCCGCGAAAGGCTAACAAAAACAGCCAAATGTGAAATTTAAAAAATAATAATTGTCATGTTCTACCAAAGAGTTAGACTCACTGGTAGATCTATAACGTATAGATCTAGTACTGACATCTCTGCTTCTTTGCTTTGTGTTTATGTATTCACATCTAAAATTAAGTTTAATTTTAGTGGGAACTGATATTTAATAAGATACTTTCCCGATTATTTTGGCGGTTGAACATCCAATATGAATTCCGGATTTGTTTTCATTCACAACTCAGAGTCGCCGCCTCGAGTAAGATTCTTGTGTGATATCTACAGGCCAGATCTGGTCCCATTTCACTTTGATTACCCTGTCAAACAAGTCAGCCTTCACCCCTGAGTTGTGTTTAATAAATAATAAAATCTACTGACACTGAAGCCAATTTTTTTGCTACGCATGAATTGTGTTTGCTAAATGTGTGTTTTGAAAACAAAGAATATATTTACAAAAAGTTTGGGGCCTAAAAATCTGTTTCTTATCTTGTGTGTGTTTGCTGTGTCCATGCTGGACATTTTGCTTGAGCTCTCTTTATATCGTTTTTCTAGCTTTTATCTCCTGTTTTCTGTTCTTTGCTGTTTTTCAGAGCAAGATTGTGGGGGGTTTTTTCGAAGTGTTTACAGACCCAGAAACCGGGAACAAAGTCACGAAGTATACAGACTCGGTAGGGGAACTCTTTAGTGATGTCAGATATACGACTAACATGTACCATGTCTTTACCTTCATAAAGAAAGTTTGTCTTGTTTCTCTTGTACGTTACCCCCCCCCCCCCCCCGGGGCACGGCAGTGCTACTGACTAAAGTGTCTTTAGGCCATTCCCAAAGGGGGGACATTAACCATGTTCTTATGTAGAGTAGAATTGTAATTGTACTGATTCATCAGTGTCATGCTCCTAAACTGTATCTGAACAGTGAACTGCAACAGGGAACTGCTGCTTTTTCTTTCCTAATCCTATCTATTATTCCATCGTCATTTTTTCTCTACTTCTTTTGTATGTTTGTCACTCTCATGTGACCCGCTATTTCTGGGGAGCCTTGATAGTCGAAGCAGACTTTGTGCTGTTGAAGCGAGAGAGGTGAACAGAGTAAGTCCGATTCCCTGCAAGGACTTCTCTGTTGAAATTCACCCCTTGATGCTCATATGACCTTATGTAGTTGCGAGCGCCGTAAAACCTCTACTAAAACTAAAACTCTTATACGTTTTACTCATGTTTTACCAGTTTTGTGGCAGCTAGTACTAACATTGCACTTGTACAGCTTCTTCAACATATTTTTGTTACTTCAGATTTTAAATTGATCTTTAATAAAGAAAAGAATTCCATTCAGTTTTTGTCTTTTCAATTCAATAACATTGGCCTGTCCATTTTCCAATTGATTTTGTCAGAAGTTTTTTTGTTGTTTTTTTCATTTTGTTACTATTACAGGGAACTATACACACCAGAGGAGACTTCATCCTGAAGCCTCCATTTTCACTGCGGAGGCCACTGCCATTGACATGGCACTGGACTCTGTAGAAAATTCTCCTAACAAATCTTTCCTTATCCTTTCTGACTCTCTGTCTTGCATCACCTCACTCACAAACTACACACTCTTACACCCAAAAATAGTTAGGCTACAACAGAAAATTCATACACTATCCGAAACAGGAAAAAACACCATGTTCGCATGGATACCCAGCCATGTGGGCATCCGAGGAAACGAGCAGGTAGACGAACTGGCGAAGAAAGCTTCATCCCTTCTGCTGGGATCAACGACAAACACTCTCCCACAGACTGACTTTAGAAATAAAGTAAAAAAGTACACCTCCAGTCTGTGGGAGAGCCACTGGGAAAAGCAGAAAAATAATAAACTATATGAAATAAAACCCAAACTAGAACAGCGAAATCCTTCGGACCTCTCCAGAAGAGACGAAGTCATTTTTACTCGATTGCGCATCGGACACACGGCCCTGACCCATAAATACCTCCTACAGGGAGATGAGAAGCCGTTCTGTGTCGGATGCGACACAGATTTTACCATTAGACACATTTTAACAGAATGTCTAGACTTTGGAGAGATCCGAAGGAAATATTATAAATGCAAGAAATTGCAGGATATTTTTTCCGTCGTTGTTCCCAGCAGAATTTTGAATTTTATAAAGGCCATTGGCCTTTATGGCAAGTTGTAAAATGAAAACGTACTATTTAAAAATTTTTATTGTTACCTATTAGAGTTGT